GCAGTAAACTTCAAAGACGCCAGAACTTTGTAGAAGAGACTGAGCAAAATTGCCAAACATCCAGACTGATGGCATGGTTCCAAACCTATTGGCACGCAGTGAGTAGTGCCACGGAGGTGGTACCATTCCAAATCTAGGGAAAATCTGATCACGAGCCATTAATGTTGCTATTGCTCCAACTTGAACAAAAGGCATCATTTTGCCGAGGGCGCGTTTTGGGAAGGGTGGAGGGTAGTTTTCCAAGACGACATGAATTCCAGGAAATGAGGTATCCAGCATGCGCTTCATGGTCATCGCATTTCCCCTGCAGAAAATTAGTTTGAAATTATACCATAGTGTGCATACTAGTTCATAACAAAGACCACAAGACAATTTCACAAATACTCCCTCCGTAACATAATATAAGACGTTTTTTTGACACCAAAAACGCCTTATATTGTGTTACAGAGGAGTAATTAACAGAGTATGCTAGAAAAACAAAGTATGATGCTAAAGGGACTGCATAGACATCATAAATGAAATTATAAAGATTTTACTCTGTAGGATTTTCATTAAACCATGTGGATAAGAGCCTTTTGCTCTGACATACACAGAAACAACCGTTGGTTTAGCTTCGTTTGTAAGGTCTAAAGAATATACATCCAGCATATGTATTGCAAATCTTCATTGCATTTCTTTTTAGTTACATACAAGCTGTGATTAGCTGATTAGGACCAGAAAGAAATATTATGCAAGTCACTTCTAATCATTTTTTCGATATAATCCTGTTGATAGTCTAATTTGGATCTGGCTTGAGGGGTCGCCCAGATTATTTAGTTTTGGTGGTCAAGCTAATTGTTTGAGGATGCACACATGATTACAAGTACAGAGGCTAGGTGCAGCAGGCTGGATGGAACAGAATTGTGTTTTAAAGCTCACGCATGGAGAGAAAGAAGGAAAGAGGTCTGGTTTGGAAAACTGAAGATGGAAAAGATTTTGCATAATTAGCTATTCTGCCAAAACAGAGCTAATATGGAAAGTCTACTAGTATTGGGCCCAGGCTGATGCTTTTACGGACATAGACAAAGATTAGGAAAAGCCTTTTGGCTTATGTGCCAAGGAAAGTCCTACTTCAATTTGCCAAAGGCCAGGCATACCCTTATATATGTGGGTACATGGCCGATTGAAGAATTGTAAACATTTGTGAACGGTGAGCCGGCGAAACGCTCTGGTCGGTCGTCTCGCGTAGTCAACTCGCTGCAGCGGCCCACGCACCGCTTTTGACGGTTTCCCTTATCTCTTCACGCAGGGTTGTCCTCCTCCACTCATTACCCCACCCCGAACACTATCTCTCTTCCCCTTATCTCTTCTTCTCCCAGATGCCGCTAGATATCCATGGCCACTTGCGTTGCAATCCGGTGAAGGAGCTGGCTGCTGCGGGCTGGCGCAGCGGTACAAGTGCTGCAAGTCGGCCAGCGCAAGTGCTACAAGCAGCGGATCCCCATGTTTTTGGGGGAGGCGACGACCAGCTACAAGCGGGATGGCCAACACCAACCACTGATGCGATTCGCCGGCGGAGATGTTGTCGCGGCGGAGCTGCAACCATAGTTCGGCGGAGCTGCAACCATAGTTCGGCGGAGCTACAACCATAGGTCGGTGGAGTTGCAACCAGCAAAACAAATGCTGGAACCGGCGACAGCCATGGTGCGACGGCCACGGCGGCGATCCATCCTTGCTGGAACCAGCTTTTTTTTTTTGCTGGAAGCAACGGTTTTTTTGCTACGACCCAGTGACAATGATTCATAGTTTTGCTGGATGCCACAAGTGCTTTTGCTGGAACCATTTTCTTTTTTTGTTGCAATCATAATTTCTTTTTGTTATCACCGTTATGATTTTTGCTGGATGCCGCAAGTGCTTTTGCTGAAACCATTTTCTTTTTTTGTTGCAATCATAATTTCTTTTTGTTATCACCGTTATGATTTTTGCTGGAACAAACATCTATTATTTTTGTTACCATTGTCTTAGATTTTTTTTCTGAAAGTAGCGTATTTTTCTGCTACAACTGTTTTTCAGTTTTGCTGGAACCAACGCACCTTTTTGTTTGCGATTTTAACGATGGCGAGCGTGCCGTTGTTGAGGGTCGACGGCGAGCGACGTGGGCGGCCGGGCATGAGGGGAGGTACCCCGTGCTGCATAACGCAAGGGAGGGGGGATTGGGCGGCCGCCATGGTTTGTTTTCGTGGTCCTTTTTTTAGGATGTGGACGCGGGGGTGTGAAAAAGACAAGGAAAAACAGAGATATCGTACGGCTGCGTGTGGGCGATCTGAGGGTTGCGCGAAGACCGGCCGAAACTTTGGGCCGGCGTCTAGTACTGGTCTTGAAGAATGCAATCGATCCTTTCACAACCTCACGTTACTTTTTTTCCTACGTTCTTTTCTTTCCGTAGCTTCTGCCCAGCCCTAACAAACCTAGGGTTTGGCTCATCTTTACCGTTTTGCATTGAAAAACGGTCGGTTTACCTTCACGAAAGGGAGGAATCAGTGCTGCTGCGCGGATCAATTTTTCGCAGCAACACGATTGGCGACTCCGTTGGGGAAGAAGAAGAGGAACACAATGAGCACCGACCCCAAGGACGGGAGTGATCTCAACCCCAGCAACATCATCGCCGTCACACTTGAGGATCTTCCTGAGGATGAACGGTAGAAACTTGAACAGGAGCTTGAGGAAGAGAGGGTGGAAAAGTTGAAGCAGAAGTTGGCGGGCTTCCAAAGGACAAGAAACAGCGTCATCCAGAAGGTAGCTACACCAAATCATCCTGCTGGGGTAAGTAAAACTGCTTGTACAGAAGAGATTGCACATTTAATTGATGAATCTGTAGCCAGTAAATAAGGCAAACAAATGACAGACATCGCACGCGCGGTTACTGAATCTGTAGCTAGCAAATTTGATGAGTCCAGAGAGCGCGGTTACTGAATCTGTAGCTAGCAAATTTGATGAGTCCAGAGAGCAATTTAATAAGGATATTCAGGTGGCCATGCCCATCGACGACTCGATGCTCCTCACCAACCTCATCCATGGCCTCCATCCCAAGTTGAGTCGGTCCGCCTCCAGCCTCTCCCTCACGACGTCGTCCTTCGCCGACGCCGTCACCTATCATCGGATAGAGGAAAACGCCTCCGCCACATAGTGTAGCGGGTGGCTCACTCCGCGCTCACCGCCAGCACAATCACCGCCCCCACCGCCCCTGACCCGGCCGCTCGAGCTCCTGCCCCGACACCCACCGGCCACCTGGCGTTTCCCTTCCCAAATCGTGGTCGAGAGCGCACGCGCTTCCGTGATGGGCGCCCTCGCAACACCAACACGCCACGCCTCATCGTCGCGCCTGCGGCTCAACCGCCGCCGCCATGGATGTCCGGATTCAACCCTCGGACAGGCGTCATCCATGCCAATGGCATGCCGGTGCATCGCACGCCCGCGTCCTGCCACCATCATGCACTGATGGTCGCGCCCCAGGCAGCATGCGCGGTATGACCGGCGCAAACGAGCAAGGAGATGAGGAGCCGAGGAGAGATGTGGAGGCGCCGGCACTAGGATCTGGGCGTTGCGCACCCGAGCTGGGGCTCCACGGGCACGGACGTCCTCGTAAAGAAAGAGGAGACGAGGCGAGTGAGGCCGGTGACGGCGGATGGATCCTGTCCTCTGGGCGCCACCGCGCCATCGAGAGGAAAAGAGGAGGGAGACGAGAGCGACGGCCATTGAGGCAGGGGATACGGAGGAGGGTGCTTGCGTGGGCGTGGGGCTCTATGCTGGCTGACCAATACGCATCGAGGAGAGCAAGCTTCCTGGTAATTTCCTCGAGAGAACAGTGGTAGACAGCGCCAGCGCGCGCCCTGCGTTCCGCCCCGCGAGCCACATCGTTCCTCGTGTACACCACCGAGCTGTAAAGTTTAACCGTCAGTCCGTCACCCATGAGTCATGGTCGCCCCGCGCCCGCGCCCTCGCCCCACTTCGCACACTCCAGATTCCAGTCATGTATTTGGCCATCGTTCTCGACCTATATAAAGCCTCCCCTGGCTTGTTACCAAAAAACCAGTACTCTCTGACTCCGTGGTCGCGGATAAAAGGGCTGGCCTAGCCTAGTGAATCTCTCGTCCAGTTTGTTTTTCATTCCCTTTCCCTTCCTTGTTCGCACTTTTTTTCCTGGAAGAAGCATTTTCCTCAACTCCACGAGAGCAGCTACCATTCCTCTCCTCCACCCAATTTCTTCCGAAGAGATACTTCTGCATTTTCCCCCAACTTGACCTCCACGAAAGCATCTACGTAACGTTAGACATGTCTGTGAATTTCGCCCTATGCACATGTTATATAGAGCAGCTGTTCGCGGTGGCACTCAACGACGACAAGAAGGCAGAGAAGAAGAGGCGGCAGAAGGCGATGAAAAGGAAGAAAGAAAAACAAATGCAAAAGAAGAAAAGACTGAGGAAAAAGAGCAAGACGAGGAGAAAGAAGACAACGCGTTTGACAAGAGGAGTAAGAACAAGGGGGGTTTCTTTGTTTTCAGCCTTCATGTGCATGAAGATTTGAATGAATGCTTGTGATTCCCGCGAAAATAAAGAATGAACGCTCACGATACATATATACTCTTGCATATCAAAATAGAGTTGTACTCCCTCTGTAAAGTAATATATGATCTTTTAGATGACTACTTTATAGTGATCTAAAACATCTTATATTAGTTTACAGAGGTAGTATTTGTTATCCAACTCTAATGCTTATGTGATTGAAAACAGAGATGTATTTGTTAAAACTGCAATGCAGTTTCCAGTCCATCAGAGTGAATGTGGATGCTGCTTAAACCTCCATTAATCTAATATTGTTATAGATCTTTTGCCACAAAAATCTAATATTACAGATCAATCACTGCATTAGCGCGATATCTTATCAACTTGAAGTCTGGAATCAAACATCACACTCAGGGGAACAAATACTGAAGGTTTTGTGCTAGAGACCAGGAGCTGAAATTAGTTTCCACTTTTAAGCAAATCATGTAGCTACAGTAATCTGTGATAGTCATGAGAGATTTACAGTCATATCATGGTAAAACACCCTTACCGCGGGTAAAATGTTATTTACAAACAGAAAAAGGTCATGTATCCAAAAAGTTCAAAGACAAAGGTATGTGATTTAACAGTAAAACGTGAAGCTTTCAATTGGTTGTGTCTATGTGGATACAGATAAATGGTCGTGAGTACTCTTGACATCATCATCTAATACAAGTCCTTTTTCCAGATTTTTTCCAATTTGAGAATCTGATATTCTGTTGCCAATGAGCTCCTGTAGCTCGAACTCACTAGGAAACCTCTGCTCAGATAATTTTGAGAAGACCTGAAAATGTGAAAAGAAGTTCACTAGGATTAGCGTAATGGATCCAGAGGGGCTATCACAACAATATCAGCTCTCAAGAACCTGGAAAGGTTAACGCATTAAGCATCGGTACAATAATCCTGAGAGATTTGTATATGCATATTCAGGGAGCAAGTACCATTCCAGTCCACTTTTTGGTGAGTACAAGCAACCGCTTATTCTATAGCAGGCTGGTATAAATATTACTGACAAGATGATCCCACTACTTTGTTCATTCTCGGCTTGGTGTTGCAGTACCAAGTTAGCAACTGAGCTAATGATCTCATATGATTGCTTGATTCTACAACTACACCGTAACCGTAATGCACAATGAGTTATACTCCCTCCATAAAGAAATATAAGAGGGTTTAGATCACTAAAGTAGTGATCTAAACACTCTTATATTTGTTTACAGAGGGAGTACTATTTTATAATGCAGGGCAATGAATAGCAAGAAAGGGTGTATCATAGAAACATACCAGTTGTCCATTGCAGTAAACTTCAAAGGCGCCAGAACTTTGTAGAAGAGACTGAGCAAAATTGCCAAACATCCAGACTGATGCCATGGTTCCAAACCTATTAGCACGCAGTGAGTAGTACCACGGAGGTGGTACCATTCCAAATCTAGGGAAAATCTGATCACCAGCCATTAATGTTGCTATTGCTCCAACTTGAACAAAAGGCACCATTTTGCCGAGGGCGCGTTTTGGGAAGGGTGGAGGGTAGTTTTCCAAGGCGACATGAATCCCAGGAAATGAGGTATCCAGCATGCGCTTCATGGTCATCGCATTTCCCCTGCAGAATTTAGTTCGAAATTATACCATAGTCTGCATACTAATTCATAACAGAGACCACAAGACAATTCCACAAATACTCCCTCCGTAACATAATATAAGACGTTTTTTGACACCATGCCAGTGTCAAAAAACGTCTTATATTATGTTACAGAGGAGTAATTAACAGAGTATGCTAGAAAAACAAAGTATGATGCTAAAGGGACTACATAAACATCATAAACGAAATTATAAAGACTTTACTCTGTAGGATTTTCATTAAACCATGTGGATAAGAACCTTTAGCTCCGACAAACACAGAAACAACCGTTGGTTTAGCTTCGTTTGTAAGGTCTAAAGAATATACATCCAGCATAGCCATTGCAAATCTTAATTGCATTTCTTTTTAGTTACATACAAGCTGTGATTAGCTGATTAGGAGACCAGAAAGAAATATTATGCAAATCACCTCTAATCATTTTTTGGATGTAATCGACAAATTTATATAGTTCTTGTTTCATCTTTTTGCTTCTCTCAAACAAATAGTCGTGGAACTGATTTACTGTTTTATCTGCCTTGCAAAGCATATAATGACCCAGCAGCATAAATGGCTGCAAATAAGGTCAGGAAGGAGTTGGAAGCATTCTGAAGTGGATAGATTAAACTGACTCTAAGTTGTAATTCTGACATATATGAAGTTCACAAGGTACCAAACAGTAAGAATGAATGGGACAGAAATTTGCATTCTGGCTGAATAATTAAACTGCGTATCTGTGGACATGGAAAAATTGGTATACATACAAAATAAACAGGAAAACTAGCTTCTCAAACTCCATGGGCAGTATCTCTCTCAACATTATTTATTCACTTAAAACACACAGGCAACACATGTAAAGGCAGTAGTCTCGAGGCCCTTATCGCTCATTTGAAAGTCAAAACACCAAATAGAGATGATCGTCAAAATATCTTACTTTTGGCCAAACTTAAGTGCAAAAGCCGAGCACAGTCCCGAAAAGTCATCCATCAAACTTCTCCACTCCAGTTGAAGGTACAATAAAGTTTTTTCCCCAGACACTAATTTATTCAGTTATTTCGAAGTATTCACTAACCTATCCCCATCATGACATGTATGGTGGACAGTTCGATGATGGGGCACAAGGACTCGCCATAATAGACGGCGGGCTGCTGGGAGTAGCCATGAATGACGCAACAAGCCTTGTAGTGGATGAGAGAGCAATCTGAATGGAATATGTATTTACACACCAACTTACTAGGCTGGTGCCAGCCGGAGGAGAAACCAGCGTCGACTTACCGTTGTCAAGAATGGCACGGAGCTCCGCAAGCATAACCTCTTTCCAGAGAGGATCAAGGAGAGCGCTATGGTAGTTCGAGTGAATGGAAAAGGGTAGGAGTGGACACAACGGCGCAGATAAGCATGTGGTGAAGACCAGGAACAGGGCAAGCGACATGAACAGCAGCAGCAGCAGCAGATATGGTGCG